TTTAAAAGAAGCTCACCCAATCTCGCATTACACAAAACTAATACAGCCCGCGGCGTCTGCTGTTCATGAGCTACGAACAAACGACAGATACCACGGGTGGCTGATCAAGTTTCTAAAACGAAGCTTAATGGCTAAAACAGCACCACTATCTTCTGCCCCCGTCAGCTTGCAACTGACATTTTTTTTGGCATTCCTACGCCGAGTTTTTATGCGTTTTGTGCTGTGTTACAGCAATACAAAACACATTATTCTTACGGGGTTGTCTGTGTGTGTGTGTCCGCAATTTTTAACTCGGGAACCACGAAAGCTAGAAAGCCGAAAATACAGGGCAGTGTCCCCCACCCACATGCGACCCCACAAATTTAAATTCAACCTCCCCGTACCCGCGGGTAACACGTATGACCCTGTAAAAGTTTGGACGGGTAGAATTATTACCACGAGAACCACGGAAGCTAGAAGGCTGAAATTTTGTGGCCATGTCCCCCGTCCATGTGCTATCCAGAAAATTTAAATTCAGCTTTCCCCTGCCCGCGGGCAACATGTACGGCCCCGTGAAAATTTTTGACGGGTAAATTATCATCTCAGGAATCACGGAATCTAAGAAGCTGAAATTTTAGAGCTGTGACTCCCTGCCAACAAACGACGTTGCAAATTCAAATTCAGCGTTCCCGCGCCCTCGGGAATCACCTACGGGCCAGTGAAAATTCTTGCGGGTGAATTATTATCTCGAGAATCACAGAATCCAGGAAGCTGAAATTTCAGGGCAATGACCTCCCGCCCACGAACGATCTTGCAAATTCAAATTCAGCGTCCCCGCACTCTCGGGTATCACTTACGGCTCTGTGAAGATTTTTTGCCGGTAAATTATTATCTTGGGAACCACAAAGCCTGCAAAACTGAAATTTTACGGTAATGACCCTTTGCCCACGTACGACCTTACAAACTCAAATTTATCGTCCTGGCGCTCTTGGGTATCACGGCCTCGTGGAAATTTTGGCGAGTAAATTATTCTCTCGGGAATCACGGAAGGGTATTCACCCTCCAAAGTTTCGAATTCAGCTTTCATGCGCGATGCGTGAAATTTTTAACTATTTTTCAACTTTTCAACTATTTTTGCACAGACCAAAGTACAAAGCAGTGAAAATCATTAATAGGCAATCGTTCGACAAGCAGAAATGCACAAAACGCGCTATCGCACCGCTATTCAGGTGTTCTTAGCCGGGACAGCAACGGGGACTTCACAGCGACATATCGACTGGAAGCATCAAGAGCTAAGCCACAGAGAGAGAGGAAGAGAACAAGCGACAGCATCGACTCTTTGAACTCCAAACTGCACGAACAGCTACTCCGAATGCGAGAAATAAGGGGGCCGCGAGGACGTGACACCGATCTCACCTTGATTGCTGCAGGCCTTTGCAGCTCCTTGATGTATTCCGGATCTTCCGGGTCGAAACCCACGAACGGTCGCTCCGCACTCCCATTCGCTGTCCCATTCGTCTTGCCAGGCATACTGCCTGAAACGAGCAAAAAAGCACCGAGTTGAGTGAAAAAACCACTGTACTGGCACCAACGAAGCGAGTCCCGCCCGCCAGCAGCAACAGCGCCACTCCCGCTATGCCTCGCGGCAACAGGCTCGGCCCGAATGCCGGCAACTCACCTTCAAGCAATCTATCAAAGCACGCAAAACGCACCACTGATAGCACAGGCCCACCGATCACACACACCCACACATACCTTAGCAGACCGCGCACTCCTTTTTGCACTGGCTGTGAGCTCAGTGGCGGGGTTTTACTGCAGCTGCAGGTGCCGCGTCCGGGCTCGCTACCTCGTCCCCTCCCCCATAATGTCCGCCGTTGCTTCGCGTCTCTATCGCAAAGTCCCAACTCCTTTCCCACCCGTATCTTCCTCCTTCCCCCTCCGCTATGAACCCCTGAAACTTGAACCGCTATCCCAGCCGTCTCGCCACTTGAACCCACTCTCCCCCCC